GCCGAACTCCTCTTCTGCGTAACTCGGCGAGCAAGAGCCTGCAAAATTTTCATTGTAGTTAGACAGCAACCAACAAAAAGACCTACTCACCAAGATAGAGAAAAAGAAAGAAAGGGTTTTATGTATTTGTCCATATAAGTATAAACACATATAACTCTGAAAACACATGGCTACCTGTGAGTTTACGCCTGACTGACTTATGCCTGATACACTCTGCTGGTGCCTCTGTCGGCGCTGCGTCGGCTCCACGCTTAAGAGGCTTACTCAAGACCGCCATGCTGCGTGCACTGGGGTCGCGCAGTGCTTCAAGTCTACTAGTCTACCAGCTGCAGGGCACAGACCCCAAAACCTGCCAGGAGGACAGCAAGTTCGTCAAAGGAATAACTGATGACACGGCATGACACAGCAGCCCGTCAGCTTGCGTGGGTTTTAGCCCATAGCCATGAAGTTCCATGCACGGGCCAGAAGCTATCACTACTTGTAGCAGTCACTAGCAGCAGCAGCAGCAGCAGCAACAGCAGACACCAGCAGTCACTATCACTAGCGGCTGGTGTGCCACAACACCACAAGTGCAAATGCCAGCATAGCAACAATGCAGGGGCTATTGACGAGCGATGCCATCCAGACATATGTGGCCTCACATTGCAAAGCATGAGTGAGAAATGAACACCCCATTTTCCTCGAGCTCCAACTTGCACTGCAGTGTCACTGCAAGTGCCTGCTAACTAGTCCAGGCTGTATGTCTATGACTCTATGGGAATCTACCGGAGCTATGTCCCCGGCACAACCAATTCCCAGTCATGGACAGCTTGTCTAAAGTTCCAAAACCCCGCCTCTATACGTGGATTCTAAGACTCCAAAGCGAAAATTGTTCTGTAAACTTCTCTGCCCGCGGGAAAAGGCTGCGATCACATTGGTTTTCTGGCCACGGTCTGACATACTGTGCCAACGAGGTGATTTACATTGACACACAGTCCGCCGATTAACATATCAAATAGACTGAAAGGGAAGACACACCTATGATTATCTTTCTTGGGATGTGTAGGCCTCGTGCACCACAGTATTGAATGGGCAGCCGCGCACACCAGGCCACTACTAAGCAGCTCAGCATGGCAGACACCCAGACCTCGTCACAATCACGAACAATGAGATTGGTGACTGGTGGCAAAATATCTAAATCTACTGTACGGTGTGCACGGTCCGTCAGGTCGCACAGAAACAATGGCCGTGGTGATTGTAAGTATCAAGTCTGACACTTTCTCATAAAAGAAAAACACTCACCGCACTACTCAGCTACACTATCCCAACCCTCATGGCTTACTCACTTACTCCCTGCAAACCACGACAACAACAACCTTCCCTTGGCCACGCTCCGACTCCCTGGGTCTCATGTGGCACAGACCACAGTATCAGAGACGTCAGTGCCACACTACTGCGGAACAGCAGGCCAAGCCTGACCAAAAAACACTTCGACGGTTTTGGGCCCTACCTGCTGGAGCAAGCACGGACCCCAACTTGCACTAAATTAAACCACTTCAGGCTTGCAGAAGCAAACACGAGCCGGCCTGTTGTGCGCACCTTACTGGATTCTTTCGGACTAATTAGTAATACAAGTAGCAGCTAGTAAGCTAGCAGCTAGCACAGTGAGCCCAGGGAACAAACAGACGAATGGTGACTAACATAAGCCTTAAGCACCTTGCAACACTGTAAACTGCAGACTGTACATACAAATAAATTTGCTTCTTGTGCTACTGTAGCCAACCTCATGAGCACAACTCTGTACTGCCGGCAGCTACGAATTGTGTGTGAAACAGCAGTTGCTCCAAAGCACTTTCGCTCGATTTCCTGACCTTACTCATTGTTGCTGCCTGCTGCCACTGTCTCTCGATCTTCCTAGCCTGGGAACTGCTTCACGCAGTACAAAGCCCAAAGTATCGATCCAATGCTAGGCAGGAACATGCCCTGGCCCGCGATCTGGCAAAGCTTGTTCGCGCTCACATCCTGCGGCGCCACCACCCTCTCTTTATCCCAGCCTTGCAACACAAAGTGTTCAAGACCGGAAAGCACTCGATCCGGACCATACGCATAAAGGCGTGAGCTGGTTGTGAGGCAAGGCAGAAGGTTGTGACAGCGGCGGTCTGTGGAAGCCTTCGAAAACTTGCGGCGGTCCGGATTCTGGGAGATATCCAGAACACACTCTGACATCAACCTGCTCAAGGCCTCACTCTTAATCATACGCAAAGAACACCCAGAGTCAATAACCTTCTGGGCACATGTGATGTCCACAAGGGCCAGAACCCTCTCTGTCCTTGGCAGCCCGACGCCTAAGAACTGCTTCCGGCCAGTCCACAGCGCCAGCCCTGGCGGAATGGCGGATTCCTCTTCCCATTTGCCCACCTGCTGTCTCCACTGCACACCCCGATCGCTGACCGTCGCCTGGGCTGGGGTCGGGGCCGGGGCATCTAAGGTCGTCCCGGCAATCCGGGAAGGATTAGATTCAGTCATGTTGAGGATTAGGACTAAATACCTATTTGGCAAAACACGTCCCATCTCAGTTGCCGAATAGCTACTTCAAGCACAGCAGGAGTTCATAATGAATCCACAAAGGGTTTCTGCATAGCTTGTAGCTGCCTGCTTCGGGAAGAAACAAAACATTCCCGACCTCTTGCTAGCGATGCTTGCAATGGGATGGAGGCGATGGCTTTCCAACCAAGTCTTCGCACACGCATGAAAATCGACTCAAAGCAAAGAAACCTGACGGTATAGAGTATAGAGTATAGAGCTGATGGCAGGCCACTGCAATTTTCTATCCAAGAAATCCTATACTCCCTCCCTATCTATTGGTACATCTTTGAAAAGTAGACGACACTTTGCACTTCTATACAGAGTCTACTTTGTAAACACTGACCCTCCCCCCCCCAGCCTGCTGCCTGTTCTTCCCGAGGAGACAATTTTCAATGCATTTCCCAAGCATTTTTGGAGGCATTCTCGAAGCATTTTTTTAGCATTTCCAGAGACAGTTTGGACAGGAAATGTGTGGAAAAATGCCTTGGAATTGCTCCAGAATTGCAGCTGCCAGTCTACCCATATTTCAATGGATTCGCAATTTGTGGGCATTTTTCACGCATTTTTGTGTAGAAAATGCTTGAAAATTGCAAATTGGTCGGAAATAGCTAGCTTGCCAGCCATTTTCAAGCAAATCTCAGTCTTGGAGCAATTTTCTTGCAATTTTCAAGCATTTCTGGAATGGAAAGCATTTGTTAAGCTTTTTTCGTGCAATTTTCACTAGGAAAATGCATTTTTGGAGCGGGAGGCATTTTTTGAGCATTTTGGGAGCATTTTGGGAGCATTTTTTGAGCATTGCATTTTTGGAGCGGGAGGCATTTTTTGAGCATTTTTGGAGCATTTTGGGAGCATTTTTTGAGCATTTTTCCTAGGAAAATGCTTAAAAATTGAGTTTGGACTTATTTCTCCTGAAATTGCATTATTTTTGCATTATTTGGGCATTTTTCTTGCATTTTCCTAGGAAAATGCAAAAAAAAAAGAATTTCTGCTATCCTGGACAATGCTCTGCAATTGCTTCAAATTTGCTTAAACATTGCTCCAGAAATTGTCCTTGACAGCAGAAAAAATGCGAAACATTTGCACACTGCAGCTGAAGATTCAGGTGAAAATGCAAACAAAATGCTCCACAGAATGCCTGAGAAATGCGCCGAAAATTGCCTCCTATTCACCCCTTGAGCATATAGCCCATCTCTCGGCATGGTACTCCTGTATTTCTAGCAGTCCTAGCGGTCCTAGCAGCTGTTACTAGCTCGCATTCTCGCGAGCAGTCAGGCACCTTTCATGTGTTTACTTACCAGTCACATAACCCTTAGACATAGCACCCGAAGGGGTACGAACATACACCTAGCAGACCTAGCATCAAGCAAGTTGCAGGGGAGCCAGCCATGCTAGCAGGGAGGAACACATCCTCCAGCCGTGGTTGCTCCAGGGTCTCGGCATAGTCTGTGATGGCCTGCGGTTTTCACGTACGCATGAGTCCGCGGCTGGATGATGTTGTGAACATACTTCCGCACAAACAATTCAATCGCTGAATCAAGATTGCTTCAGAACACTCCGAACTCCACAGGCCTTCAACACTGCCACCAACTTGTCACAATCGTCGTCGGTGTAGAGATCGTTGCGAAGCAGAGTGATGTAGAGCCTGTTCAATCAGGAGTCTCATCATGCACCGATTTGCAGCAGGGGTCTTCCTAGACTTGTCAGACCGTGTTTACGGCCCAAAGGTGAGAGTGTGGGCGCAGCGGGTGAGGCCTGGGGTCAGGTGCCCCTTTATTTCGATACCCCGAAACCTCGCGAAACTATCAAGAATCAAGATCACAGTGTTACATACAACGTGGCACTCTTGTCCGAAACCAAAAGCCTCTGTCTATATTCTGTACACCAGATGGGACAGGGGCACACATATCTTATTCTATGCACTGAGGCCAAATCTCCACGAACCGAAAGTCCACAAATCAAAAAGCAACACCCATCTGAAAATCGAAACTGCATCCCGTCCAGGTCTTCAAAGTTTACAACTCTCAAAAGATTGTGGAAGCTGAAAGCTGGCCTGTCCGACATGAATCATCAATCGGCCCTCTCTTGGTTCTGAACGCCTCTGAAAGACACTCTTTACTTCTTCGTACTTTTGAAACAAGGAAGAAGTCTTTGTGCCAACAACAACAACAACAACATGGAATTTGGGATGACTTGTAATCCTAAGTGCCAGGCTTCTGTGGCTAGAGTCGGCTAGAGGGTTGCTGTTTTGACACAAGCTGTCTGTAGTGCGGGGCAAGGCCTAGGGGCCTAGCAGCTTTTTCTACACAAACTGCTGCTACTTATTCCAGTAGTGGAAACTGGAATTGGCAGGGAGCATTTTTGTGTTCAGCCGGTGCCGTGTCAATCGGCAAACATTCTCAGCGAATGCATTCCTGAGGTGAGCGGAGGTTGGAGCCTTAATAAATGAACTCAGGCTCCTCGCTTTCCCCAGGCTTCTGCGCACGCTCACGTCGAAGAATTTCATCCGCCTTTGGCATGCTACTGAAGAACGCTCGTGCTGTCTTGCGTTCGTCCAAGCTGAAGAGGAGTGGAAGAGCTGTGTCGCAATGTGTTTGTCTGTCCGGGTGACTGTCTTGACACATGAGCCACTGAACCAGCAAGCCAACGGGTCTCCCTTGGCCTGAGCGAAGACTTTCACGATCACGGCTACCGCTGCTGCGATTCTTGAGCTCATTGAAGGTTCTGCTCTTTTTGCAATCATTGCCATGGCGTTTGCATCTGCATATGGCTGTGCAGCTGTTACTCGGCGGGTAGTAATGCAGCTCTCCATAATGCCCGACGGGAACAACGATTTCGGTGCCAGTTTTCTTTCTGCCAGCACGGGATGTGGCTGCCCCCACAGCAGCCTCAGCATCAGCAACAGAATCTGCGGTCGTTGTTTCTGCAGCTTTCGCTTCCAACCTGCTCAAGAGAGCCTGTCTTTGTTCTTCCAAGGACGTCTCCGGGCGGCCTGTGGCAGCCTGCTCGGCATCTGGTGGAGCTGCATCAGCTGGCAATTCCTTTTCTAGCTGTTCCAGTGCCAGGTCCAAAGCTTCTGAATGATCACTGTCTGTATTCGAGTGGCGATCATGATCAACACTGTCGACATTGTCCACATGTTCAAGCTCACGCTCTCGCGCATCTTCAGCATGCCAAGGCTCGAGTTCGGGGTCGAGATCGGGCTGTTCACCACCATCTGCGACAGCTGGAGCGCCATCGTGACCAGGACCTTTCCGACGGCGCCTCCTTTTCGGAGCAGGCTGCTCACTCCGCGGCTGCCTTGCTGCTGTGGAGCTTCTGGTTCGCTTTCGTGATGCCTCCAAGTCTCGGCGCCTTTGCTCTTCTGCAGATCCCTCACAGGGCAAAGCAGAAGAAGCAACAGCCACAATAACTAACAGATTCGACTAAGGCGACTAAGGACTCTCATGGACCGAGTAGTCAGAGTAGTCCCTGCCTTATTGATCCAAGAAACAACGGGTACTGCTAGATTGCTGTTCGATTACATAACCCTCATCTTCACAGTCGATCGTTAAAAAAACTCCGATTCCTTGCAAGCCACAACAGCCATAACGACTCATAAGTCCTGGGCCTTAGCATCCTAGCAGCACCACAAAGAAAGACCACACCCAGCACGACACAGAGAAAAACAACACCACCGCGCGAAAAATCCAAAACCAGAGGCAACTGCACCGAAACCATCCTCAGAAATCTGAGAGCACCAGCAATTACAACATAACCTTCCTCAGATATCTACGACCTGTAGCCATTGCAACGAAACCTTCCTCAGCAATCTGAGACCAGTAGCAATTGCACACCCACCCTCTGCCGAATGACTAGTGGCTTGTGAGTGGTAGACTAGCAAGTAATGCCTGACATGAGCTGGCACATACTAGTCACCTGTAATCGCAACTACCACACAGTAATCGGAAGTATTAGTAATCTACTGAATCTAGTAATCTAGTATCTAATAGCTTGACAACAACGGGCACCAATATGCCAATAGGTTTAGTAGTTGACTAGCTAGGACTAGGAAGTAATAGCCGCTATGACCAATACTGCACAGTATGGCGCTAAAGACCTCTGCTAATGCTGCAAATGTGTTTTGGTTTTGCTGCTCACACACAGCTTCATCTTCGAAACACATGTGTACGATATATCCGATATGGCACCATGACACTTTGACTCCTGCTTACCTAGACTGTAAGCTGCTATTCTCTCTAGAAGTAGACTAATGAGTAGTAGTAGCCAATAACCAGCAACAAAAGTCTAGAATCCAGAAATTAGCCAGCCACTTCCCGGCCTTCCACACCTCAACCTCCGGCAGAATCGATTGCTCCTCCACTTCAACCTTGTTTGCAACAGTGTCCCAAGCTGTTTGTGGGGCATCATCCGAAAAGATCACATGCCAGCCAGCTGTCCACTTTGCATTGAAGTCAATGCATGTCCTGAAGGCATTGGGGGCCCGCAAAAAACGTGGGGTCTGTGGGACGTGGAGATCCCGCAAAGTCCGGCCAGCTTCCTCGTGTGTATCACCAGGCGTCAAAGGCAACACTGAGAACTCGTATGTCGTGTAGTTGCAAAAGCCGATGTGGAAGAAGAAGGGGCCTTCTGCAAAAGCATTTGCCTCAGTGGAGGCACTTTGGCTAGGTCCACGGTTCATCTCAGTTGGCACTGCCTGTGCCAGCGCAGTGTCAGACCATCCTATGGCACGCAAGGATTTCTCCCGTGTTTCTGCAGGCTCCTCATGGGTGGGTGCACTGCGTCGCAAGCTCAGAACGAGAAACCCACCTTCCAGAAGCAGTCGGCTAGAAGTTTTCTTCGCCTTGGGTTTGCTCTTGGAGGCCTGGTCTTGCGNNGCAAGAAATACGCATCTGCGTCAGGGCCAGGGTTGCAAAGGCATACGCCCAGCCTGCGACACCGCTGCTCTTCGAAGCCACACAACAAATGTGCTGCGAGATCCGGAGCTTCCGCATTTTCATGCATCACATTGGCCTCCAGCCAGCCTTCTTCAAGTTGAGTCTTCAAACCCGACTTGGAACTCTGCTCCAACATTGGCCACACAGCCTGAGAAACACCAAAACACACATGAGTTGCGGGGCTTGCACGGCTACTAACTAACTAATCAACACGTGCGCGACCACATGGCTGAACTGAAGTACCCCGCAACCGACACGTCCTCGTCAAACAGACTGTTGAAATTGTCAGTGCGCCACAGAGACGGTTCAGCCACAACCACAACATAGAAACGTTTAACAACATTATTATAGAAACTAGCGCTAGCTGCTACCCGAGCCGCTAGACTTCAGGCTAGCTCCACATTTACCTTGCTTTAAGCCCTACCCACAGCTGCCCTGCTAGTCAAGGTAAGGACTTGCAATCCAAGTATAGACTTGAAGCCTAGAGCCTGGCCTTGTGGATGATAGCAATCGTACTTTCGACAAGGAAAGTGTAGTAATGAAAGTTGCTGGTAAATCCATGGACTGATAGTGATTAATGACGAATGACTAGCACTAGTGACACTAGTGACTAGTGAAAATCAAACCTGACAATGGGACTCCCTCTCTACGACTTGCACCTGAACCTCACCGCCCTATGGCCCAATGGGCTTATGGCCCGACACAACCTGTAGATTCTGGACCCCGGGACCTGAGCCGTGAGATGGGTAGAAAGGATTGGCTGATTCTTTCGAAAAAGCCGTCAACCCTCAAAGAAATGATTGTGCCAACAATCGATTGCCCTAGCAAGAGATGATAGGTGGCAAACTGGCTCTAAAGCACCAGGAGTAAGCTCTGAAGACCCTGATATGCCTGATGCGCAGGAGGCCCCCACACGAACTTGGATTAGTAGCTAACAGCTAGCAGCTAAGCATTAACTATCGATGTCATGTCCAAACAAATAAAGACCTTCACCCCAACACTACATGTTTGAAGACACGAGGCCTGCGTCAATAAGTCAGTGGCAGCTTGCACTTGCACACTGGCAACACCCTGCCCAGGCAAAGCCGTCGCAACCATGTCAGAAGGCAAGTCTGGCAACACCTCTACGAGCTGGCGGAAAAAAGCTTCACCCCTGCTTGCAGACAACGCAGTCACCTCGGCCAGACTTCCTGCATGTTGCACCGCAAGTTCCTGATCGCACTTGTCCCTCAAAGCCTTCAGTTCTGATCGCAGGTTCTGAACTGCAGGCAATTCTGACGACTGCCCGGCTCCTCGCCTTCTGTTCCGTCGTCGCTCTCGTTCTCCAAAAGCTTGATGGCCTGCACGAGCAGCAACGGTCCCAGCGCTGCCAGCATCCACATATCGAGCGAAGCGGCCTGGATCACGTTTGGCCTCGTGGTACTCCTGGGTTAGTCTTGAAATGGATGGCCCCAAGCGGGTTCCACGACCGTGAATGCTCAAGTAAGCACGGTAAGCGCCGCCTCCTCGGCGGTATTTTCGAGGCTTGCCCACTGGTCTTCGATTCTTTGCTGCTGTGCGGCCTTGACGTCTTTTCTGGTTCTGCGTCCTTGGAGCCTGTGCTCCTGTGTGCTCACTCACGACTTCACGCAGCGTGGACAACTCTCGCGACAAGTGCTCGCTGTTGACTTGTTCAAAAGACACAGCATCAGTCTGCACTGATCTGACTGTCGTGATCCTGCGCGTGCTTGCATGGGTGGCCTCGACGCAAGAAATATCTGTCCATATGACTGAAGCCAAACCGTGCAGGCAAGCCTGAGCTTCTGCTGTTCGCAAATCCGGATACTTCTTCTTGACTTCGAAAGATAGCCTATCCATCATGCAAGGTTGCTCTGTGAAAGCCTCGATGTTCTGCATGTTCTGCTCCAGGGCTGTAAACAGCTTGAACGGAAATCCTCTGTGCTCTGCAAACATCAGCTGCTCAGCAGCCGCGCCTCTAGCTTCGGGATCCGATGCCCTTTAAAGCTCTACTCTACAACATTAGCAGGGTCATTAGGACCATTAGGACAAGGACACTGCTTTGGGCCGAAGGCTTAGGCTAAGGCTAAGGCGGCTAAGGACGGTTTGGGACCTACGGTAAGTAAGGGCGTAGGTGACCAGGGAGCAAGGGACGAGAAAGCAACAAAATGTATCAGATCACGAGCAGCAGCACCCGCACGCGCGAGCATGCGGAACAGCAAGACCCGGGTGGAACGAAGACATGCGCTCGATGGCAAACTCTGTAGCTGGCCATGAAAGCCTTCACGCAAGAGGGTCAGGAAGCTCTTTTCCAGAGAACCATCAGCAGCCTTCAGAACACGATAGCTTCGTTTTCCAGTCGTAGCCTTCAGTGCTGCCTGCTGCTGCTCCCAGCTAGAGCCAGCAAAAGTCAGAGTATCTGAAAGGAGCTTTAATGGTGCTTTCATGGCTGTACGCATCACCACAAACGCATGCTGCACAGATGCATGCTCGCACCATTTGCCAAGCTTTGCTTTCAGAGCCGCGTTGAATGAAGCCCAGTTCACATCCCCGGTCTCGGCTTGCACATGGTCTTGCAGATCCACGTTGTCGTCTTCCCCAGACTGAAACCACGTAGGTAGCTCGGGATCTGCCAGCTGCGCAGTCGAAGCATTGGATTGCGCAATTCGCTCAGGCACCGGGTGCTGCAGAACGACATCACCCCTATCAGCATCGACAGCATTTTGCAAGTTGCCCACGGCAGACCAGCCCTCAATGTCCAAGCCTGCACGAGACGAACTGCTTGTTGGCAGCTGTGGATCAACACGGGTGTGGCCCTGCGTCCATAGCTGGATCAAAGGCCGAAGAAGGGCATGGTGTGATTGAAGTACACCAAAAAAGTCGACAGCCATATCTGCGCCTGTCCAGCGGGATCTTGGGAACTCTGGGCAAGGCCCAGGGAGTAGTGCTGGCACGAGCCATTCCTGCAGAACGAGAACGACTTGCTCTCGGGTAGCAAAGTCAGCAGTTGGCATCCAGAACTCAATGCGATCCGATCGTTGCAAGTTGCCGTTACACAGATGTTCCAAGATCAAACGACGCCGCAAAATGTTTTCGGAAGCACTACTGCCTCGCCGGCTGTCTGGCACGGCGGAAAGTCCAGGCGCCAGGAAAAGGTCATGCACGGCCCTGCGATGCACAGTGTACTCTGGCGGCGGCGTCCCTACCTGGATGTCCAAACGACCCTCGATGAGACCCTTCAAGATTGTCCTCAGTTCGTTGAGGCTATTCCCTTGCTTCGTCGCGATTGAGAACATAAGCATAGCCGATATATTCCCCGAAAGTAAATCGAACTCAGTTTTCTGGACTTGTGCAGACTTGTGCACGTCGCATAGGAAATGGTGCGTAATCCAGGAGTTGTCATCGTTGTTCAGTGCCTTTTCAGCTCCCTGGTTCGAGAAATGGCGGTCCGTCGCAGGAACCGAAAACTTCAGCGGAAACTGGCGACTGAAGTGCAGCAGGCCGGGCAGCCTGGCCTCTTGCTCTGCTTGCGACCACCTCATGTTTGCAATCGTACACGAATCCACCAGCTGCAATGGACAAGGAACAACAGATCTGAACAATATGTACTTGCCATTGAGGGCCTCGTTGTTATTCAGTTGTGCCCTCATCAGGAAGGCAATTTCCATCTTAGTTTGGACCACCTTGGCCGTAACTGCACGATTGGTTTTGCCGAGGACTTTGCGACGGTCTTCTGGAAGTTTGCTCGGGAGCCTCAACTTCGTGGGTGTTTCATCATACCGTCTACTTTTCATAATGCACACGGGCACCAAGTTCTTGTCGTCGATCTGCTGCTGGAAAGCTTGCAGGATGACACGCCAAGACATGGATGAAAAATGAAGGTTCATCATGCTCACACGTTGCCTGTCACGAACAAACGTCCGCTCAGACCCTTCAAAGTCCTGAGCAGCTGCCAACTTGAAGGACATTGTCGTGGATCCCACAAGCCTGGAAGCACCCATCGCCATGGATGCAGCAGTCATACGATTTGGTTTTTCACTGAAACCTTCAGTCATCTCATTCTGGCACCAGCATGACTTCAGAAACTGAAGCAGAAGGCTTTGGGCTGCGTCGAAGCCTCTTTGGAAGCATTGCATCGGACCGCCTCTGACCAAAAGGGCCAAAGTGGTGCTCTGCACACGTGATTGGATCCGAGTTTCCACTGTCTCCAGTCTCTCGTGGGAGATTGGTTGTGTCTCACGCCCGAGCAGGCACGAGCGATCACCATCACGCCTCCAAATGTTTCTTAGCCATTTGCTGCCAATCAAGCCCACTGGTCTTCCTCGTTTGTCTGGTCTTGCAGGAGCACCTATGGCACCAGGAGGCTGCGCTGAAAAAACAGTGTCTCGCGCAGCTGCCCCCCAACCCTCATCATCCATGCCGCACGCACCATTGAAATCACAGCAAGTGAAACTGGCTTCGGGCCCAGCATCTTTGCCGGCCCCTGGTAATCTGGTAAATCTGGAGCATAGCAGGTTGTAGCTGTAGCACTAGTCCTAGTCCTAGTGACCAAGCGCTCTGACGTCCTAGTCCTAGTCCTACAATCCTACCCGCCCTAGGGCCAATGAGCATGGCATATCATCTCCAAAGTAAACAACAAACGGCATAAAAGCCAGACCCATTGTACAAAACCATGTAGCCATGTCCAGAAAACCTCGTTCCGAGAAGAAAACATCAGCCTCATGACAAACATATTCATATTCTTTGTTCAGTCTAAAACCACAGCACCTGAGGAGCCATGACAGACATAGCAATTCAGGCCATTGGCCCCATCAGCTTGCAACCACTGGGGCAATTAACTAGCAGTCTGCACCACAGTCGCCAAAGCCCAACCAT